TATTCCTACTTAGGTGAAAAATACCCAGAAATTAAAGTTTGCTGCACAAATTTTATGCTTTTTTGGAAGTACATACTTATGTGAGCAATTATTTTTATGCATGAAATTAAATAAAACGATTTACAGATCTAGATTAACTGATAAACATCTATCTGCCATAATGAAGATTGTTTGTTCTCAGTCTTTCAATTCAGATATTGGAAAACTAGTAGGAGGAAGAAAGCACTGGCAAGTTTCTGGTAAAAGCAATTAATTTTAGTTTTATAAATATGTACAATAAATAAAATAAATGTTTAAATAAAAGCAATAATATAGCAATTATATATTGTTGAGTTGAATTCACTGAACTACATAATGTGTTTTAATTGCCCTATCTATATTCCTGCATTCTCACTTCAAATTATAATTTTAAGAAAATTTGTGAATGTGATGAATCTTACCAGTCTCATTAAATGGCCTGTTGTTTAAATGAGTTTGACACTCCTGTACTAGGACATCATGCAACTTTGTCATATTGTAATAGAATTGAAGCAGAGCTAGAATAAAAGAAGTAATCCCTGCACCTGTTAGGCACAGAAGAAGTGAATTTTTGTACAGACCTGACAGACACTAATAGGTGAGCTTTGCATTTGCCACCACAAAAAGAGGCTATCTTCATACTTGCAGACTACAGGAGACATGATTCTTGCACTAGCTAGGTATGGAGAGAGAATCCATGAACAAAGCTTCATTCTTGTGTTTTATTCATTTTTCCTGCCTATTTTCTGTTAGGTGCATGTTATACTGTTTTCATTTTTGACTCCTAAGCCTAAATTCCATTAGGTGCACTCGTCACATAAGAGAGCATGGACATTGTCACTGTAATACTTTTGTATATCAAAAACAAAGTCATGGACTCCTATTTTTACTTTCCTGGTTCTGTTATAGATAACAGAGATATAGATATGGCGATCGGTCAAAATATGACTCCCCCAAGATTTTTACATTTTTGGACTTGGCATCTTGAAATATCAAGAAATGCAAAAAAATTCAGGGGTTTTTTCTGTAAGTATGGATGTTAAATAATGTGTATGTATGTGGGGCATGATTTTGTTCACTCTCTTTGAAGCTTAGTAACTCCTGTGCTTTTTGAAAATTTCTGAAATTTTGCAGATAGGTTTGTGTATTACTGTATTTTCATGGAATGACCAGCATGCCGGGTCTATCTGGGGAGACCATAAAATCAGGCATTTCTGTATGGTAAAAACTGGCATGCCGATTTATCCCGAGAAAATGCCTGCATACCAGTTTAACTGAGGTTATCCTCTCTAGAGAGACACATCAAAAAAAAATGAGAGTTAGATCACATAAAATGAACATGTTTTTATAAACTGTGAAACTGTCAGCATTACAACAAAAACTATGATGTCAAATTTCTTCATTTTGTCTTATTTCTAATGATGTAAAATACTCATGGAATTCCAAAAGTGCTTTTTTTTATGTCTATTTTATGGTAATTTGATTCAAAAAACACAAAAATAAACATATTAAGTTTAAGAAACTTTCCTAAATTATCTCAACTCAACTCACATCAATTAGCATCAGCATAGTGTAAAATTTGAAAGAAAGGTGTTATTTTTAAGGTCTGGGTGGATGATCAGTGTACCCCCACACTGACTAACAACTATTGAATACTAATGTCAATAAGTTGCTAATTGTTTTGTCTTGTAAATGAAAACTTTCTTCCTGATTTAAGTCAGTCAAATTACAATGATAATTATATTGTACTCAGAAGAATGCTTTCTTTTTTTTACCATTTGTTTAACTAGTTTTGTTAGATCTGATTAATTTTATTTTTTAGTTGCATTTTAACCAGCATGCCAGAAACCCCAGGGTTACTGGCATGCTGGTCTTCCTTATTTATATGTGGCATGCCAGTCAATCTGCGAAATCACGGCAGAAAGATTCATGCTATTAATGTTTGATGGTTTAAGGTCAACAGAGTGAGGAAATAAAGAGTGGTCGTGTGTCATATCTCAAATAGGGATGAACTTAATGATGATTTTACTCGTTATTAGTATTTACAACTTTTTATAAAACCCATCCCAACCCTCAAAATTAAGCTTTTTGCCTTTTTATAATAATTAAAAATGTAAACAATTTTTTAAAAATAAAATATCATAACAGATAGCATCACCAAAATTTTAAATGTTGCTGGGAAAATTAAGAGATTTATTGCTGGATTTTTTACATTTAAATAGACCCACATTACATTTCTGGATTCCTCATCTCAATTAATGGAAAATGGCAAAGTTTTATCAAAATTGGTCCATTAAATTTTGAGAACAAACTCAATTCTATAAGCCCATACAAGATGTGCTAGCAACCATGAAACATTGCAAGATAAAGTTGCTTGATTTGTGTGATATCACTTTGTCTGCACACTCATGAAATGACTTTATGTCTCAAAAACAAAGTCATAGATCCTCATTTTTTATTGCAGTTTTGGAATCCACACTGCAATTAATGGAAAATGGCAAGGTATAATCAAAATCTATTGAACAGATTTTGAGAATAAACATATTTCTATAAGCCTCATAAAAGCTTTGCTAATGTTCCACTTCAATTAATCTATAATGCATCTGTAGGTGACAATTAATTAATGTAACCTAATTCAAAGACTGGAACTTTTTATCCACTAATTAACTCTTTCCCCTTGAGTGCTGGTGACTCATATAAAGAATAGAATTAGAAAAAGCCCTAAGGGCTAAGCTGAAAAGAACAAGGCACTTTTTGGCTGGACATCCAAGCATGAGGATGTGGACTGGTAGATATCCAGGTCATTAGTAGCATCAACTGGAGGTAAGGACAAGCTTTCTCAATTATAATTTCTGTTCTGGCAAAGAGAAAAAATCAAGTCTAAGGAAGATTCTCAAGGAGACTCTTGCAGAACAAGCAAGATACAAATTGTTTATTCTTCGTGTAATAACACTGGAATCAAGGACTGTCATCACACCTAGAACTACACCGAAAAATGGGTACCCGCTTTCCTATGAATTTCTTTCTTATTCATTTCTAAGTCTATCTCTCTTATTCTCTTATTCTTCTTTAGTTTTAATTAGATTAAGGCCTTAGAAATCATTATTTTAAATTCGCGGTCCTAAAGATACTGATTGATAATAATTGTTGTGACTATATTTTTGGTTTTGATTTCCCTTACTGTTTATTCAAGTTTTATTTTGTTAACAACAAAATCTGTAAAAATTCTCAAAATCTGTGGACTGAAAAGGAGTTGGAATCTGAAGAACTGAGTTCATCACAAAATAAAAACAGCATTTTTTCATACATTGAATTCTTGTATGCCTCATGCACAAATGCCACTACACATTAGTCGCAAACTTCTACATGCTTCAGAACACATATATATTGTAGTAGTCATGCCCTGACATTTTCTTTACCCTGTATAATGATATCATTAAATTTTGATGTGAAAACATCACACATGTGATTTCTAAAATTTTCTGCTAACTCAGAGGACCTAACATTGTGGCATTTTCATACCACTTCATTTCCAGGAGAACATCTCCAGGATCACTCAAAGGTTGTTGGGACTGCAAATGCTCTCTGCATTGTGCATGAAGTACTCTGCTAGCAGCCCAACCAGCAACATACCTCCTTGTGTTTTGATCATCCAGGGATAAACATGAAATGTTTATCCCTGAATGTTTGAGGGATAAAATGAATCCATAGAAATGTTTGAGGGATAAACCCTCAAACATTTCCATGGATTCATTTTTTCCTGTGAATGATGGTAAGTTTGAGTTCACTATCAGACATGGCTTTATCCATTCCACCTGATCTTTGCATGCCATGAAGTTATCAAGGTCCATTTTACAGTTGCCTGCATGTGATGGCTGCAACAATAGGTTCATCAACAATAGGTTCATCATAATGGTTTTCATCACTGTCCAAAATTCATTTGCATTAGATAATTGTTACCATCTCTAAGGCAAATAACAGAGAAGGTCTCTATACAGTCCTGAATAAGCCATCTCAGGAAGAAAAATTTTAAATTATATTTTTCTTCTAATTCTCTCCACAATAAATGTATGATACTTATGTTCTCCAGCCACTAATACAAGTATGGTGGGTTTCTCTGCTGTTCAAAACCTGAAAGTCTCTCAAAAAATAATGTCAATTCATTCAGTTTGCAGGGTGGTGAATCATCTCTGCAATCCAAATCAAAAAGAAGCACACAAAACAACGTATTTCTTGTAAATCACAAAAGAAAAGAACAGTCTCAGTGACTGTGCTAAACCAGACCAGACCAGAGACAGTCAGATGACAGGGCTGTCACTTTTCAATGTCGAGAGGAGGAGTTTTGTGTATTGGTTTATAGAGTATTTAGCTGAAGGAGGTCACGTTCAATGAGGAAAAAAGAGAAAAAAATCACCAGATTGTAACTGTCCCAACAACAGTACAAAGCTCCAATGAGAAAGAAGGACACCTGACATCTGACTATTCCCATTTTTATGATACGACTGAACACTACATCAACACAATCTTCCATTTTGGAACTACAGATACTATACTTCTGCAATATTAATTCCCTTCATTCCTCTACCTATCTCTTATATCAGTCTTCTTAATTATAAGATAGGTTAAGGGACTGTGTGTTTCATCATTATACATTTGTCATGGTTAATACAATTTGTAATGGAAATCTCAAAAGATAACTGTTGTTTTACATTTGTATCTTGTATTTCCATGCAACTCAGAAAAAAATTAAATCTCACAATATAGTTAACATTTTCATTATATACTGTATTTGTTTTATATTTTATATTTGATTTTTTCTTTTCTTACATTCTCATATTTTATGAAACTATATATTAAAATAAATACAAGTTGATAAAGATAAATAATTTATGACATTTTTTATATATAATTATCAATTAAGTATTATAAATTTTTAATTTTAAAAATTTAATATAAATAATGGTATATAAATATGATTTTACCTTCAAACTTTTTGATTTGGAAACAGAAAGTATTTGCATAACTGTTTTACAATCTTCATGCTTTATTTGCTTGATCAGAGAACTGTATCTCGCAAGAAGATATCTCCAGTGTTCCAATTCAGTGACAGGTCCAACATCATCAGATTCTTTACGTATTTGTCGACTTTCTGATATTACCTTAATTACATTTATTAATTGTTTCTAATTAATTTATCAGTAATGATATATGATCAATTATTTAATAATAAAGACTTAAAAACTGAATTTCATATTTTGCATATACCAACATAATAAATTTCTGGTAAAATGTAATTATCATCTTAGAAAAGTTTTTATTCATTAAAATAAGAAAAACTATATCTAATAAAATTTTAATACACAATATCTAATGTCATTAAAAATCTTAGATAAATTTCAAAATAAAACTTTTGCCACTATTTTTTAAGTGCCTGAGAATGTGATGTATGAGATGCACAAATTTAACATGTCTATCAGACCTGGCTATCTTATGTATAGCTACCATACTATCTGAGCATATGCATACTAACATACAAAATGTCTTTTGTCCTGTCAATGCCTAATGTAAATCAAGCTTATATAAACAGCTAATGTTTCTGCCTGAACAAATGAACAGTGTGGACCTAATTTGAAACACACTTGAGTAAGCTCTTGGCCTAAATCAGAGTACTGTAAACTACAAATGTGGCATCCACTTCTTCACCTATTTTGGAGCTGTCAGTGTAAATTCTAAACTTCAGGTGATCCTTTGGATAATCAAAAAATGTTGGAGCATGCTGATTAGAGAGGTGGTAATCATAAGTAGGGAGGGTTCTTTTATCTATGCCAAATTTTCTTATGTTGGCAAGCAAAAAAAATCTTACCTTCCTTAATCATTTGGTGATGCCTGAGTCACTATAATCTCACCAGGGCAAGTTGGCAAGGTTCTCCTTCCAAGTGACTTTCTCAATTTCTAAATATATTGGGGTCAAATCTGACATTACCAGTAAAGCCCTTGTGGATACAGTCCTATACACCTTGCAAATATGGAGAGTCTTTGAACAGATAACAGCTTCTGTTGTGTCCTTTGGTGGCAACATGACTCCAGACTTGTACAGCATAATAAAGGGTAGGTTGAATGGCACTCCTGTGAATAGCAGATTGAATAGCACTAGGCCCAAGTATTCCTGGAAATATTAGCAAGGGCATTGGCCATCTTTTTAGCTTCATCTGTGATGTATTTGATGTTCTTCTTGGTATTCTGATGTTATTTTTGATGACAAGTTGTAAGGAACCAAGTCTGAGCTTTATTTTTATTTTACTTTTATTTTGCTTTCATTATATTTTTTTTTGGGGCTTATGTTTAGTTAAGACGAAGGTTTCCTCACCATTCACCTTAGTAACTTAAAAATAGAAGAAAAACCAACTCACCGACGAAAGAAAAGCGCCGTAGAAAAACTCGCGCACACTTGCGCTTCCCAAGCGGAAAAAGTAAGTCCGCACCGAGAAAAAGGGGGGGAAGACCCCACAACCCAGTTAGGAATCGCTAAACCTTAAAATAATAAAGCATCCCGATAATTGTTAAAAAGAATAATGTAAAAGGTTAGCGAAGTATTGTCGGAAAATAATCTGCCAGATAAACGAGAAAAATTTAATGTTACAGATAAGTATGTAAATGAGGAGAGTGAGCTCATTCAGAATTGTGACGTCACCTCACACTATAAAGCCTCTAACTCAAGTGAAAACGAACGAGGTGAATTCCTGATAGCAACGAGCTTATAGCAGTGAACGAGAGAGAGGTGTCCGATAGGATTTTGAAGTTATTCGATTTGTGGATCGACGATTATAGAAAGTCTTGAGAGTTGAGGAAATAGGTTCCTAGTATATTGAGGTGACGATTAGGATCTTTAATTTATAAGAATTATTGTTTATAAGTTAATTCTTTGATTTTGTCGAATTCCAAAGGGGAATAGAATTAAGTTAGAAATAGATTGATTTGAGTTTGTCGGATTGATTCTTGTTGAGTTTCATTGAATAAATTATTGTTTGATTTTTACTAAATACTGTATAGAATTTATTAATAGAAGTTTAATTAAATATTTGATTTTGTTATTGACAAACTTTGTCATTATTTAATTCGGTGCACGCTTAAAGTCCAGGCCTGGCACACTAACGCGAATCCGCGTAAAGTACCCGTTAGGGAACGGCTATTTCCGGCACACAGTAGTGTCGATAATCGTTGGAAAAGTCGGAAAAATAATATAGTACTTTACAAAGTTAAACTTCTCATCAAGAATAACACCTAAATATCTAATTTCCTTTCTTTGCTTTATATAATGTGCACCTAAATGCATAGTTAGTTTCCTGATGAGAGAATTGTGCCTACTAACAATCATACTTTTGCATTTTTCTGTGTTAATGGGATGTCTATGTACAATGCTCCACTGGTGAATGATTTTGAGAATGATGTTGCATATGTCCTGTAATCAATTACTGTTCCTTTAAGAAGCTAAAATTATAGTATCATCTACATAACTTTGGATACGACAACCAAGAGACAGGTGTTGTTAAGATGCATTGTTAATATCAAATTAGGATGTTCAGATTTAAAGTGAAAATATCTAACTCTACTGAAGTTTACTGAATCTTTTATCTTCCAATTGTGAGAACCAAAGGGGTTAGTTGTCCTCACTTACCGGCGGCTCTGTCAGAGGATGGCTTTATAGGAGGGCAAAATAAAATGAGTGGGGAGATTAATGAGTAAGTTGACAGGTTCCCAAATAAATACACAGGTTGAACAAGAATAACACATTTAATAAACAACTGTAAAATTGTACATATCAAAGGCAAAAGTGAAGAGTTACAAAAATTCTATTCTACATCGCGATAATGATTCATCTTTTTTGTGGAGCATCTAATTTCTATTCTCTAAGTTAAATTAAGAGATGAGAGAGAGACTTCTCAGAGAGAGAGTATACAAATAGATATCTAAAAAAAATACCTCTAAGTTCCCTATCCGTAACATGGGTCATTGGTAAAAATGTTCCTGGATTGTCACGGCAGTTATGGCGAGGTAGTGACAGATAGGGTGGTGGTACAGGTCAGTAGATGTGGCAGTCGATGTCCACTCTGGAGGTGGCCGCCTTGTGGACTGCATCCAAGCCTTCTTTATACTATTTTTGAGGGGGTAAGAACTATGATATCATTAATGATTTATACACACACCTGTTCATGTGTTGATGTCTGGATCTAGCTAGTACGGACCACTGGCACAGAGAAGTTTGTTTAATTTATTGATATCAGTGTCTAGAAGATATGATTTTATAATATAAATTTCTATATGGCTCTCATCTATAAATTAACATTCAGCTGACAATAATTTCTGTAAACTGATCAACAATATAGATATTGTTTATATTAAATGTTGCGTTTGACTACGAACGAGGCGATTTATTGCTGTAACCACTTGTCACGTGCAACCAAAGAGGGGATAGGAAACATCTCTTATTCCTGTCTTGTTGATATTAACATCTATAGAATTACCGTTAAACAAATGGAGGAGATTTCTTTTATTGATATATTAACAATTTTTTTCGAGGAGATAGTCTCGGTCATCGACCGCAGAAGGCCCCCTTTTCCCCTTTTCACCTAATCACGAGGTTTATTAGAGGGGTTATACTGTTCTAAAACAAAAGGGTTTTGGACCTTCACACAATACTATTTTGTGTGACTTGTAACACTAATTGAAAATAAATTAAGAACAGTGGAAAGCAAGAACTTTTGGGTACAATGAGACCATTTCTCATTAATTTTTAATAATATTTGTTGAGTTAATAGAAAACTGTCTGAAGAAGCTCTCAATTAAGATATCTCTATTTCAGTAAAAATGTGGGTTATATAACTTGTTCCCCAAGTGTTTCATATTGTGTATATATTAAATATTTACCTGTTCAATTTGTCTATTCCAAACTTTAATCAAAGATTCAATTGCAAAAAGTTTTTCTGGTTTCTCAAAAAGCTTTTTAATATCTTCTACGGTTTTAATTTTAGAAAGATCTAATGCTTCATGTTCTTTTAACTTCACTTGTCCATTGATACATTTCAAAGCAGCTATATAATAAAATACACATTTATTTTTTTAAAAAGATTTTAACATGTATTTAAGAATTTATTTTGAAAGTTTTTTATTTAAAAGAAAATACTTTATTGCATCTATAAAAAGAAACTTAAGTTTAATATGTATCTTTTAGTTTTCTTATTTTCAATATTTCTAAATAATACAGTACTTACTGTTGATTCATTAGCTAAAGTATTTTCTACTAATAAATAATTTTAATTAGTAATAATATTAAGCTTCATTCTAAATGACGACATTTTTTTTACATTGTAAAATTCCTTGATTAAATTTTATTTTTAATAAAAAATAAAGTTAACAATTCAATTGCAAATTATATAGATTTTGTATTATAATATTTCTTCTATTCAAATTATCATCATATTTTTTATTTCTTATTTTGACGATTTTTTTTTATATTTAATTTTTGAATGAATAACATACATACATTTATTTTTCAAATAATAAATTTTATAAACATGAAATACTTCTTATCAAAAAACATTATTTTAATTACCTAAAATGTTGTTATAATATTTCTAGAATGATTGTCATATATAACAGGACACTGCCATATGTGGACTTGCCATGTGATTTCAGATTTATGCTACTGACAATCCAGAAAAAAAAAAAATTAAGTAAATAAAATAAAAACTCTTAATTGCATGCAAAATCATTGCCAGTTTTTAAGTTAAATAAAGTCTCATATCATCTCATTCAGTCAAACACATTCTCATTTCAGGAAAGCATTACTGTAACTCATTTTTTTGTTTTATACTAAATACTGGGGCTCATCAATCTTTGTCCAGAGTTCTCACTTGTAACAGATGTGCATGTAACATCAGTGCCTCTCTTTTCATATTTTTTTTTTTAGTACTTAGTTTTTTGTCTTCCTAGATAAAATATTTTAACTCAATTTTCAACCACTTCTCAATTTCCAATCTAGTGGAAACTTTTCATACATATGTACTCAGATGACAATATTTTTTTAGAGTTTGCAAATAATTTTAGCAAAAATTTAGGGAATCCTCACAGAGAATAACATGCATTAAATTAAATGCTAAACCAAGAAGAATTTCAACAATTCAGTATTACATATATAAAACTAAAAGTTAAAAAATAAATTTTCTTTAGCTTCCACAGTATTTTTGATATTATGCAACCAAAAATAAAAATGTGGGGCACTCTTATTTAAAAATATTAAGGTGACCAATCGACCTCCTTTAGGGAGGACAGTCCTCCTTTTGTAAATTCTGTCCTCCCTTGAAAAATGTCCTACATGTCCTCCTTTATGATATTTGAAGACTAATCTGTAAATCTCCGTATTTGATCAATGCTGAACCAATCCGTTGCATGTGATGTGATATGACATGTTTGTATTTAACATGACAATTCATCAAAGCTCTGTACAGTATGATGAGATGCAATTATGAGATGCATGCTCTTCACACAGGAGACCTTGAGAGAGAGAGAGAGAGAGAGAGAGAGAATGCAAATGGCTTTGTTTACTTCTTATCAAAACATGACATGGTACCTATGCATGCAGTAGAGATTATTACAGTGTATTATTGTTGCAATGAATAAAATGTTTTTTATTTACAATATTTTTTGCTTCAATTTATTAGTGTTCTCCTTTTCATTGTAAAAAAGTTGGTCACCTTAAAATATTTATAGTACACTTTCTATCAATTTTTATAGGCACTCCATGCTTTTATTTTTGGTCACATAATATGAAGGATATTGTGAAAGCTGAAGAAAATTTAGTTTATACTTTTTAATACAATTATGTGAATAAAAAACATTTCTTTAAACTTTTTTTACTTTTATTTTATGTTAATTATTTTGCAAACATACCACCAAAATGCAAGAGTAGTAATTCTGGTAGCTTTATAAGCCAAATAATGCAATAAAATGCTGCTTTAAAAATTAAAAGTTTAGATTTAATGCCAGAACACACTGACCTAAATCTCAAACTTGCACATAAAATTTAGGCACGAAATTTTGCACCTCTATACACAGATGGATGTTTAATATATGGAAGTCAGAGGATTAGGCCAGTTCATATATTTCATTTGGAGATGGATTTGATACTGAAATTTCAGCATCGAGTCCATCTTCAAATAAACTCTCAAATGCCAATTGTTGCAAAATTTGCAGCATTGGCTACCTACTCAGAAAAGTTGCATGCATCTATGCAAATGTCAGTCTACCAACTATTTGGAGCTTCATAAACATTGGCTTAGCAGCTTAAAGACCAATACTAGGTCTTTATGCATTGATTCAAATAGTCTTTTCATTTTTTATAGTAAGTTATATTTGTACAATTGCAAGTTTTTATGGCAAGTTTAACTTTTGTATTATCAAAATATTTTAAAACCAACTGTAATTTATTTTAAATTTTACACAATTTTTAAAATCAACCATAAATTATGGTGTGTTGCAGAAATCTTATTAAACTCAAAGTGTGTCACTAATCCAAAAAGATTGGGAAACACTGATTTACAGTATTGTTGTAATCTCCCTTGTCATAATATACCACAAGAGAGCACCAAAGAGAAAAATAACAACATATTTGTCTTCGTCTTACTCAGTTTTGTTTTGGTCATCAACCCAGGTGATTTATTATGTATCAGAGACAACTGTTAACAAACCAGTAGTTTTATGTCAAATAGTGTTCAATACAAACAATATGATATTAATACAAAGTAGCTGCTCTAAACAAATTCTTTTCTTTCAGACTATTCTAAAATTTTAATTATTAATTTAGATAAGCGAGGGCACCTAATATCTACCTCTAATACAAAATTACTTAGTATCTAAGTATTAATAATAGCAAACAAATTAGCCCAATTAATTATGGCAATCATTTGGTTTTTATTAATACATCAAGCTTATTTATGTATATATATATATATAGATATTTGTTATCAATGCAAATTGTAAAATTAAAATATTGATCAACTCTAAAAAATAGTATGTTGATGATGCTGTCCTGTGTCCTGGACCCTTAGTCTCAAGTTTTTCATGTTGTACTCAAATTGATGTCATTGAACTCACTCGTGTTACTATGACTCGCATAATTGGTAGTCTCAAGTTAGACCCATCGAGCGAACTCAAAAGGCAAGCAGAAGTAGGTCATATTCACTTGTTTACATGTGTCGTTAAGCACAATGGGATTATTTACAGTGCATCTGGGTTTGCGACTATAATGATTCGACCAATCAACTTTACTGTAACAAGTTGTAAACAAATCAATGTGAATTAGTTTACACATGTTATAGTTAAAAGTTTTGTCTTATAGCAATATAGTATGCAGAAACAAAATGGAAACCTCCAAGGTTTTATTTTTAAAAATAAGCAAAAAGAACAAAAAGAAATATTAGTAACATATATAGAAAATAATAAGAAAATGAACAGTGGAAAATTTGACAATGAATTTACAAGAAAAAATACAATTCGATTTGTGGAAAGAATTAGCTGAAAAATTAATTGTATATTGGAGCTAAAAAATCCGTTGTGTAATGGAAAAAGTGTTTTAATTTAATTCTTTCTTTATATAGTTTTCTTCCTTGATCTATTTCTTAAATTGTTTTGTTTATTAAGATTATTTATTAATCTGAACTTAACACTTCTGATTAATAAATAATCTTAATATAGTGTCTATGTTCTTAATAATTTATACATATAATTTACTATCATTTTAATTCTCTTTTTCGATGAATTAGATACTTATTTTTATTTTTGGAAAAATTTGCTGTATAATTTTATCAATTATGAATTGAAATTTTTTTATTAGTGTTGACTTGACATGAAAAGAAATAGCATTTACTCGTGTTTGAAAAATTCATTGCCTTCTTAAACAACTCTTTCGGCTCTTTCTAACACTTTGATTACCATCAGAATAGTGTATTTGTCAGCCATTTTCACTTTCATGTAGCGATCTCACATGCTCAACTCAACGTGAGTGGCAACTCGCATGGTTAGATGGGAAAGCATGTGAGTTATAACTAGAGACTACCGATTTGACGTCAGAGCCTGAGATGATACCACATGACATCTTCAACACATTGGGAGTTGTAACACGAAAAACTCGAGACTAAAGGCCCGGCAGTATTGACTATGCACCTCCGAGATTTAACTCTTTACGCAAAAAATAAACAAGTACATCCATTTCATTAGTATGCAAATTTGCTTTTGTCATAATAAATGTCAATAAGTTATAAGATTATCAGTATAACAAAGAATTGTTTGGAATTAAATTTTTTATGTAGTATTAATTAATTTATTTTATGTACCTAAATATAAATATATACCCACGTTAGAAATGAAAAAAGTTAAAGCAGTCATGTACTAGACCAGTGTCCTTCAACCTTGGGTCTGTGGACCAGCACTGGTCCATAGAAATTTCTTACCAATCTACAAAAAATTTTGTAAACTGGCAGAAAATTTTTTAATAACAAAATATTTTAACCTTGTAATTAATATAAACAGTTTTTATTTATTTTTTATTATTGAAATTATTTAAATAAAGTTCATTATATTGATAAATTGAAATTTTATTACAATTATTATATAGTACTATAATTACTGTATAAAAATAATAATAATAATAATTTTAAAAATTTATAAAATAATTACATTTATGCATGACAATTATGAAATGAGAATCAGTTGCATCATAATTCCATAAAACTAACAGCAGGGGTGCTGTTAGTTTAAATCTGCCAGTCTGAAAAATATTATTCCTATTTTTGCCGGTTGCAGGTGTGAAAAGGTTGAAGAGCACTGTTCTAGACCATTCTAAAATGCATTTTGGCTGTAACACTCTCAGCCCTGTTTTTTTTTTTTAAGGCCTCTTCCCGCTCTGAGAGCACCAAGACACCAAGAACTATCAATGAGAAATGTAAAATGTATTCTAATGTGTAATGTGAAGAAGGAGCGAAACGAATACATACTATTTAAGGGAGTGTTGCCTGCGAAGCAAGGGTGCTGTAAA